CCTTCACGAAAGCAAACCCTGTACATGCATTGGGGGAAAGAGTACGAGAATACTTTTATCACTGCGCCGCTTACTGCAACTCAATGTAATTATTGATTCGCTAATCACTCATAACGACGAGAATATCCAGGGATAATCAAGAGACCGAAGCGTGCCGGCGAAGGTATTTGTAATTACATCCACGGAGTAGACTCGACAATACGCAGTGCGGTGCAATCAAGACACGTAAATAGCAACGTCCAACTGTAAATTACACTCTGATTCGCGTGGAGCTGCCTGACGATGCTTGCTGCAAGTTCAGAATCTGATTTCGATTAAAGCAGCTATTGATTTCCTATTCCAAGTGGTCTCCATTTGCACACATTCGGTTCAACGCCCATTAACGTCAAGACAATTTTAAAGCAATCGAGAATTTAGAAGTATACGAAGTTGAATTACTTAAAACATTGTATCTGCATTTGAACGTTTGTCATCGAAATTGTTTTAAAAATACCATAATACACAGTACCTAAATTTTATTAAAAAATTCTCGTTTAGGAGGAAATAAGAATAAGAAAACTATCTAATTTGATATAATTTTGACTGCGTTTGTGCTCTTTTAGTTTCAGAATCTGATATTTATAGTTTTCACTCCAAAATGTATTTAATTTTGAACTTTAGAAATAAAGTGTACCGGCGAACTGCCAGACGCCTTGGAAGCTTTTAGAATTCCAACCGCATTGCGATCTTCCACACCTGCGATAACGCTGCTTTTTAAAACTCATTAGTGTTTATAATTATTCATCAATTACAACATATGTAGTATTGTTGTATATGAAATGGTGAAATGTCAGGTTTGGACTCCGCGTTTCGGAGGGAAGTGCCGCTGGTTCAAGTCTGTCTCGTGGACACAACACTCTGTTGGTGCAGAAAACTATTGAGAATTTTAGAAACTTTATTAAAAACCATTAGCCTATTGAAAACCACTGCTACCCACATAAACAATCTGTTAAGATTGGTAATAAACTGAAAGTGTCTGTATGTCATTTTCGTATTTTGAAATTTTAAACAAGTGTACAACTATCTTGTTTTATTTTTAAAATATACGAACCAATTGTTCAATAAAATATGCAAATCAATATTATTATTGTGGAGCATTTAGATACATTGCGAGAAAGTATGTGCTTTGGCAGCTCCACCAGTAGGTTTCGTGATTCTTTCGTTGCACTCCCGTTTCTTCCATTTCCCCTAACATCCTGTTTCCATGAGCTCGCAACATTAGCCCTGTGCCGAGAGGGAGGCGAGTCTGACTCGCCTCAGGACTCAAAAACTCAACACGCGAAAAAGCAGTTAGGACTTAAGCAAGTCTAATTTGAAGTCCATTGTGTCGAAAATGCGAAGTTTCAAAAAGGTTGCGTAGTTTAATTTAGATTATTTTAGGTGTCGGGGACTGGTAAAGGGGGTCTAAATAAAGATTACATCCTTTCTTGAAACTCTATTTCGCATCTGGCATCCACTTTCCGAAGGGAATCCTCTACGACGTACGCAATTGAAGAGCTTGTTTACAGTTTCGTATCTCCATGACACTTTTTTCAGGAAGGGAGTACTCACATCCACATAGTTCGAAATAGAATTAAAGGTTTGAGATTACCATTTGATTTGGTAGGAAAGCAATTTTTGAAAACTGAATTGGGCAGCATGATAGTGAAGCGTTTCAAGAACATGTTGATACGTAAATCTACAAAACAAACGGAAATACAGATATGTTTCTTTGGAAATACGCTCTACTATTCTTTTAGCGCTTGTGTGCGCAGCCAACGCGGCCTTCTAGCAGCAACGTAATAGTGTTGAGGAGACACACCGACGCCCGCGGCACTTCTCGGGCAAGATGCAACGTGGCGTTGCGCCGTCACGCCGATGCTATTTCGGGGCGCAAACACGCTACCTCACAGCAGAGCCGCGTTCAAAACAATGTGGTGAACGTGGTGAACCTTTAAGTTTCGAACACGTCCGATCTCTTGAACGTTGGGAGCGTGAGCGAGCGAGGAAGTATTGATTGCAGGAGCTTCGAGGTGCCTGCTTGGGGCACCTGAGAGTTCCGTCCAGAGGCGGGAGGCGGTGGAGACCCTTCGCAGCTGCAACGCACTGTCCGGCGCCGACCTACATGCCGAGACTCAAACCCAAGACTTCACGTTCAACGATGCTGCGGAGCTATCGCGGCCGTTTTGGAAGTTAAAGAACGAGTTAACACCCCACGCAGCTGCTGTTTTGTTGCCTTTTTTAATGTGTCAATGGCAGGTCACACACACACACACACACACACACACACACACACACACACACACACACACACACACAAGATCTCATCCTGTAGATTGCGGTATGAGAAATGTTTCTTTTAGGCCTTAATGTTTTAGTTTTTCATGTCCCAGAACGCTTTGTTTAGGAGTTATTAACGATAAAGATTTTAAAATATTGCTGCCGAGTGTGTTGCGGGTTGCATATGACATTAATATTTAGTTTTGTGGTACAGTGCCGTCTAGTAAGCTTTTTTTCGATATTTTAATAGTTATTCTCCTAGTCGAGGCGGAGATGGATCCAACAAATTAGAGATAATTAAAATGGTTCAGCCATTCTTGAGTTATAAATGATGTAACTAACCCGACTTTGTTATACATATACAAATTTATATTTTCAGTTTACGTGAAATAATAAAACAAAAAATTAATTTAAAATAAAAGGTCTACTAATATGATGCATAAATATTTTTATTACGGTTACTCCCCTAACAGACTGTGGAATTGCTTATTCCGAATTCCCCACCCTTGTATATCTCCTAGAACATTCGAGTACCCCGAGGGTGGGTGTTCGGTCCGTCGCTGGGCCCTGACGATGGGGAGGGGGGGGCAGAACAGCAGAGGGGTACCGCGCGACCCGTATTCTAGGACGCTGCTCCGCCATTCGCCCCAAAGCCATCAGCGAAACTACGATAATCGCTAATCAGAACGGTCGGCTAGCGTCAGGGGCCACGCACTCGCTGATGTTAGAAACATCGGGCACACTTTCGCCACCTGACGGGGTTCGAACCCGCTCGCTCCCAATCACTGGACTCTCCAGCCTCTAGGCGACGCCTTTGCGTTCATCGCTATCAGTGTCTGTTTTGTACGGACAATGACGCTCTCCAATTCCCGGTTATAATCTGTAGTAATACCTATGTTATTACCTTTTTATGGCTGATAAAATCAAAACGTGTCGATATTAAACGTAGGTGTCGAGAATTGTATTCGATTGTTTGATGTTTCCGGGCACGTCAGCTGCTACGGTCATTAGCTTGGTTAGTGTACTGAACGTTTTCAAAGTGTGAGATGGAGGCGTTGCTCCCTTGGTCGATGGTGAAATCCGGTGCCGCCCCGCACGTCGCCTTCGTAGCAGTTTCCCTTCCAGGTCCTCCCCCAGCGAGGCACCGCCCCAGCCCCCACTGGTCTCCCGGCGCGGGGGTAATGCAGCTGTTTGTAACGGGAGAGAATAGGAAAGAACTATGTTGCGCGGTTCATGCCTCGATCGTTAAAGGTATTCGCCTCGAGACTGGAGAAACCACGAAAAACTGCCTATAAGAGCAGTCGAAGATCTCCTCCAGTTAGCGGTGAATTCGACCTCACTGACAAATTAGTCTCCCTCGGATATCGAACCTAGGACGTCCTGGTCAGCTTCACTGTACATATAGCGGAAATGCGAGCTCTGAGCTAAACTCCACCGGCATCACGCACAAGAGTATAACATGCTGTTAATCTTTGCAACTTGCGTCAACACGCGTCGTTCGATGAAATTCATTTTCCTTCGCGGCCCCCTCTAGGGAGCAGCAGGTGTGTAGAGGGTGCTACTCTTGGGTTGGGGAGTTTTCTCCCCCTAAACGAGAGGGGGAAGTCTGGCGGAACCCTGTTTCTATCTCTTCTTTATCTTTCGTAGTTCACTCGTGATTACATTACATGATTCTTCGAACTACTGATATCTTCCGACTGACAAAGATCCAAGAGTAATTTGCTTGAATATAAGTATATTACATCATTATTTATTTTTATTTCATTTATTTACGTCAAAAACAGTTAAAAACTGTGTGTGACGTGCTATGGGGAGAAGTTAATTTGAAGTTACATTTATGGAATATTAATACTTTAATGTGTGCGTGTGTGTTTTTGTATTAGTGCTTATCTGCATTACAAAGAAAAGTGTATTTGTCTTCAATATTGATAAAAGAATACTTGATGTTTGTCATAAATTGTTTGTATATTACGAATGTAAGTGAAACCTTTGAACATAATTTATCAAATACTTCTCTTGTACTGTATCGTATCGTACTAGAAATTCAAACAAAATCAATTTTCAACAATTTAATTATTTTCATTTGATCGTAAAAACTAATTTGTCTTATATTTTCTACACTTTGAAAATTCCCTGGAGAACAGAAAGAAAGGCGTTGGTGTGAAGGGGCGGCAGACGACAGAGAAAGCGCAAGCGACAATAAGAAAATGCTCTGGAACTGTGAAGGCCCATTCGCAATGCAAACGTAAGCATAGCGCATATATGTCAACATTAACATAAGTGATAGACTAAAGTATTCACGATGTCTAACATAAACGTAAGCAAAATAAGAGTTTCTGTTGGCTGTGAGACATTCTAGTTTGCTATTGGTTGGATATGAGGATCGATTTCGAGGTATCGACTGTGTCCATGGCCCAAATGGAGTTAGTTCGACTATCGACTTCGATTTCCTTCGATACTCAATTTTGAGTTAACGAACTGCCATTAGTTCATTTCTTACGTCTCACTCAGCATAAGAACAGAAACGTGAAGCTTGCAAGCTTTTAAGTTACAGTCTTTCGTGATTGTGAATGAGCCCGCTTACGGACGAAGTGCTGACTTTTATGTTACGAGTGACGCCCTGCTTGTTCATCGTGACTGGGTCGTGAGCGCACCTTGGCGGTGAAGTCGTTCGTCTCCAGCAGCAGCGCGTTGTCGTGGACGATGCGGTAGTACCACGTGAGGAACTGGTCCCACTGGTGCTCCCACACGATGTTGTACGAGTCGTCCACGTCGATGTCCTCGTGCGTGCGCGACGACACGTACTCGCTGCAGCGGCGCAGCGCGAACTGCACGCAGCTGATGGGGATCTGCGCAGCGCCACTCGCTCAGAAAGGGCAACGCGGCCGAACAGCCGTTTGCTCGCAAAGGGAATCATTGCAGGTAACACACACACACACACACACACACACACACACACACACACACACACACATTCCTCAGAATTAAACTTATAAAAAATCATATTTTTATTTATCAGCTTTATAATATGCAAACGTCGACAAAACACAATCAAACGAACAGGAATTCGATGAATTTATATAGCATATTAATGCATATTTAGTGCCGTTTGCGTTAATCATATTTCCATTATATTTAAGTTAAATTCATATTTTATTGCTTTTTTGTGTTCTTAAAGTGGCATAATTCTCTTGGAATTACAATTCATATGCATATTTGTCTCCTGAAACGGAAAAATGTACTTCAACTGTGAATGCGAATGTTGTTCATGAGAAGTCGTGTGAATGTCTCATTCAGTATTTGTCTGAACTTCTTTTAGATGATATCATGGCACTGGCATCCGGAAACGATTTGTCCGATTATGAATGATATGATAATTTATCTTTGATAGAGGATTTGTGACACTGGAATTGATGCTTCCACGATGATACAGACGAAGTCATTATATTTTACTTTAAAAATTATCGCCGGAATACCAAGTAGAGACAAAAATGCATAATTAATAGTTAAACTTAAAGGTTTTGTAATGGCTCATAAATACCTAAAATGCTAATTGTAGAGCTTATTTCATTAATTCTGGCGTATATTTTACAAATGTTAGAGCATGTTTGCATGTATATTTCTCCTTTTGATACAATATTAATTTCCGAGCCTTATTCTTAATATTATCAATAAATAGATTTTCGTAGAATGTATTTTTGCAATTTCTCAATTTCATTACTGTCTGATATCACTTCAACTTTAAGCGCCTTTCTAAGTCTCGAAGTGTCGCTGTAGGCTCGAATGGTCATTCGCGACGTCTGTCGTCGGGGAACAAACAGCGAGTGCACCGCAATTCCGACGGTCGCCTGCGGGCTGAAATTCTGACACACTAACATCAGGCGTAATCCCAGGCGATACATGACTTTTTTAAATTCGCACCCTAACCCCCTTAATTAACACAGTTTGCATTTTTCTTTAGCGCTTGTCTTGTAAGTCGTGTTACTCGCAGCACTATCATTACTACCATGCACCCATAGTTCCAATGCAGAAGAAAGGTTCATTAGATCCGAGACACTAAAATTCAAATCTGAACGTGATTTGAGGAAGAGTTATGTGAGTCTTGTCTACCAAGTCTTAATTCTGTCGCTTGCATAAAAAAGAAGGAAAGAAAGAAAGTACGTATATGTCTGAGTCTGTCTCGAGTGCATTTTTCAATTTTCTCTGATCGATCGAGAAAATGTTGAGATGATTTTCCCCCCTCCCCATAACTCACAAAAAGTGTATTGTGGTTGTCCCGTCATATAGATTTTAAGCTTAAAGCTGCCAGTAAAGAAAAGAAACCTTTTTTATAAAACGAATGCTGAAATTTTGCCATTCAAGCATTCTTGAAAACTACGCTATATTTTACAATTTGTTTTTTATTAGTTCAAAATCTTATTGTTCATTACATTAAAGCTATGAAAACTTTGCTTTCAATCGTGTCAAAATATCATGACGCTCCATTTATAAAAGATGTAATATCGACCCTCGCAGGCTATGTTAAGTTTGGATGAATGGAATGGGGTTAATTTTAGCTTCAGGAAGTAATCACTTCCCACCCCAAAAGGCTGCAGCATTTGCATGTCAACATTCCTGGCGCTGATGGCTCCTGGCTTTGACATATTTTAATTTTACATTGTTAAAAGAATACCCTCGCTGCATGCGCATGGTAACCCCTCAATTAAAACGTCACCGACGCATTTTCACCAAGCCCCTCGTGAAGCGTCGACGCGGGCAGGTTGCGTTAAATACGCGACCCAGTGACGTCACGACCGCCATCGATCGCCTCGCTGCTAAATGCGGATTGTGTGGGAAAGAGAATTGGTTCGCCGAACCCGCAGCGAAAAGTTCGGCCTAATTTCACGGCAGCCGTGCGCCCCGTAATCGCAGTCCGCGCCAAAAGCGAGGCGACGCGGAAGGAGGAAGCGGCGAGGAAGGCAGGCTGTTCCTCGCCCAGCGGGCGAGCGACCTCGACCCGCGGAAGCAGGCCAGGCTAATTTTAACGGCCGATCCCAGGCCGATAATCGCTTCGATTCAAATATTCGAGGAACTGAGAGACCCCAGACGGCTGCTGTGCTATTTGGAGCGAACGAAGGCAGTCACAGTTCGATGACTCGGGTTAAAATAGCATTGCTATTGATATCGGATAAAATAGACATTTGTTTTTACGTGTAAATGCTATTTATGTAGGGCGGTGCATCAGACAAACAATCTTTAATAAATTCAATACTTATACGATAAAGATGAGTCTTTTCCGAATCTCGGATGCACTTTATTCTTCAATCATATTTTTTCCACGGCTTCTTGTACTCCTTGTATTGCGAAATAAATACGGTAACATTTTCTGCTGAACTTAGGCACGTTAACTTTTATCAACATTCTGAATTTTTAAATAAGATGTGAGTAATATTTTAACCTACAATTGGAGAGTAATTCTTAAAAATGAATGCTCTCTCGCGACGAATATATTTACAATTTATAGAGCTTCTGTTTTAGAAAAAATAACTATCAAGCAAAACATCTTTCTACGTGCGTGTAGAAAGTGTACATGAATAGTGGAACAAAAAGAGACCCAATTTGAGCCTCTGCATAAATAAAGACATTATTATCATTAATAATAATAATAATAATAATAGTAATAATAACAATAATAATACTCCCCTCGATCGTGGTTTTGTCCCATTTTCCAGCGATCCTGAAAATGAGGTTGTTCTGTTCGCTTACTAGACAGTAAATATAGGTTTATTTCATCCAAAACATGGCTGGATAGTACAATTTTCTTTGTGACGAATTATTATTATTAATATTATTATTATTATTATTATTATTATTATTATTATTATTATTATTATAGTTTACTCATCCATCGAACAGCGGTATTTTCGCGTAACTTACTACAATATTTTTCCGAATTTAAATGCTGTTTCGAATTTGTTTTAACTTCAAAAGATAAAATAAAACTGCTGGTTTAAATAAATTCAACTAATAATAATAATAATAATAATAAAATGTATTATTGATCCTATTTAAGGAATACATTTTACGCGTTACAATATATAATATAATATATATATTATATATATATTATATTATATCATCTATTATATATAATATACATTATATTCGAACGACAGGAAACAACTTGGACAAGCTTTACCTCCCCAACTGGGACGCTAAATTTGTGCTTGGCCCAGCACCCGTGATGCTTCCGTTGCAATCTGCTTTTTTATTGTCCCCCGTTTCGTTTCTACCTTCGCGTGACACCGTAAAAATGATGAGTGTCGCGGAGGGGGGGGCGAAGCGCCCCGCACCCCACCCGCCCGGGCACGGTCCTCCTCCGCAGCGTGGGGACTGAGAGGAAGTGGGACGGCTCCGTCACTTAGTCGATCTCCATCACTGCGAGGGGATGCCGAGCACACGCGCCCCGCGAACCTCAGCAAACAATGACCTACGGGACTACGTCGGCGGCAGGGGAGCTAAATATTATTATTATTATTATTATGATTATTATTATTATTATTATTATTATTATTATTATTATTATTACTATTATTATTATTATTATTCCTCTAATTCACGACTTAAGATGTTCTGGGTCGGTCGATTGTAAAGTCTACTCCGAGTTGGAATCAGCTTCCTAAGGAGCAGGCGTAGGGACTATTTGTGTTCTATTCATGGCCTGCAGCAGCAAACCTACCGCTAAAAAAATCCATACGTCTTTTTTTTAAAATATGGTACGTACGCTGCTCAAGAACAACAAATTACCTATTCTGGTATAACAACAATATATGAAACATTTTAACAAAAACACGCTGAAATATCATAGTATGTATTTTGAACGACTGTTCTTTACATACCAAAGAAAATCAAAGAAAGTGCTTTTTCACAACGCAAAACGCGAATAGAAAATATTTAATGGCGACCGGCCTCGTCTCTGGAACCTTGTTATCGCATGACGCCAGCTGAGTCGTAAGCAGTGACACACTGAGTATGAGAATTCAGTCGGTGCGTGTAATACGATAATTTGCAGAATAATAAAATCAAATACTTGCGTTTTCAGTAAAAACCGAAACGCTTTAATTGTTTTTGAACGTCTCGTAAATCTAGGGAAACAATTAGATAGCCAGGAACTCTCACAAGATCGTAGGTTTCAGTTTTCTTTTAGTTTCTGCGCCTATTGGAATTTAGTAATGAAGTTGTTATCGACTTTGTCCTTTTTCCAGTTTCACGAATTGGAGGCTAACTAGTCTCACAAAACAAATCATCTGCCAAAGGAATACATATTCCAGATTTGACGATTAAATTCTGGGATATATTCTGGGAAATATATTGGAAAGAAGAATTTAAAAGGGACACGTACTTCTGATGACTTGTATTCTTCCTTAAACATTTTGTCAGATAGTATTAGATCCTCTATTTGTGGTTTGTGAGTCATGATAAGCCTGATCAAACAAATGTTCAAAAACGTATAAGAGACCGATGTGACCTTCACGGTTCTGTCAGAGAGGTTATACTACAATGTCAAAACTCTTCGATTTCGCTTTAAGCTGTAATGTTTAGGGCAGGACGTGGTTTATAAAATTGATACCGGGATATCCTGTAACTCAAAAGCGTTGCCGAAACACGATTATGTCCACCGTCGCTTTGTTAAAAAATAGTTCGTTCCACAAATATATTTCAAAACTATATACGAGTAAGAAATGCAACATGTCCCGATATTCTCTTTTCCAATATCATACATTTGGTAAATACGATTATTGTCATTATATAAAGGTAAACATTTACTTGATTTCACTGGGGTGATAATTAAATCTAAGAAAACGCAACGTAATCAGCAGAAAAATCATTTTTCTATTAAAAAAGCGGAAATAAGTTTAAATTGAATGGAAGTGACTGAAATTCTTTCTAACCTGAGTAATATTAAAAGGGTTAAAGTGAAAACTATTTCTTATTAAAAGCTATGAAGAGTTTATTTACGCATCAAAACGTTTTTCATTGAACACTGTTTCACAAACGAGGAATACTGAATAGTACCCCTTACGAGTATGGCGCATGACACGTTCCATACCTGCCAATCAGTGGTACACACCACTTAATCCAAAAGATGTATGGTGATTAAAACATTTACATCAGATGGATTAATGTAAAAAAGTCCACTCATTCCACCCTGGCACACACCACTTGTTCCAAAGTATTAAAACGTTTACATCGGATGGATTAATTCAAAATTTAAAAAAAATTCCTACCACTTATTATACTATGGCACATATTACTTATTCCAAATGATTAAAACACATTAGATGGATTAATCCGAAAAAATGCGCACCATGTATTCCACTACGGCACTCACCATTTATTTAAAATGATTTAAACATTTACGTCAGACGTATTAATGCAAACAAATCCGCACCACTTATTCCACCACGGCACACGCCTCTTATTCCAAAGGAATAGAACGTTTGCATCAAATGGGTTAATACAAAATAAAGAGAATGCGCACCTTCCCTTGGGGCGAGCGCACGCCGCCCTCGCCCAATTTGTCGAAGCGGATCACCACCCACTTGATGAGGCCGATGCACGCCGTCATGCGGAAGTCCTGGATGAAGGCGGACAGCTCCTCCTCCTGGCAGATGTTGTAACAGCGCGGAAACAGCGTATGCGAGACGCCGTCCTCACAGAACCAATGGATCTGCTTCATGTAGTTGCAGAGCCCCACCTGCACAAGGTGTCCGCGAATTGCACATGAGATTGCTGAGAGGACAGGCAGAGAGAAAGAAGAGATTATGAACACTCAGCTGAAGACTGAAAAGTCATTCCCTTCAGTTCAGATTAAAAAGATTTAAACTTCATAAACATCTGATTTACAGATAACATTTTTAGCAATATTAATATTTATTAACTGTAGAAGTATCACCAACTTAGAGAACATTTTTCTGAAGGAACAACTTCTGGGATGCCAATGGCGACCCTAAAACATTGCGAATTTCATTCCCTTTTGTTGAAAAACTAGTGGCATGTAGCAACAGAATCTATTCATCAATCGGTTGGCATTGGAAAGCAATAATAGAACAGTTCGTAAAGTTATTTTTGATTAATTTTGACCCTTCACGTACGTCCACAGTACTGCGGGAGGGAAGGGGAGATAGTTCAAATGGGAAAAGAAGATCAGGTCAATCCAGGATGTAAGGCCTTGGAAGATTTGGGAAGGAAAGATCGCGCGCGATCCATAGGGTACATCCCTGGTACACACCTAAAGCTGACATTGACCACATTATTATTATTATTATTATTATTATTATTATTATTATTATTATTATTATTATCTGTTTATTATATAGTGGAATTTATATCGCTGATGCACAAATTATTTATTTGAAAGAAGATATGGAATTTACTTCAAATTTCTAATATTTCACGCGTTCTTCAGTTAATAATGAATAGAACGAAACGTTTTCTAAGAGCTATAATTATACCGGAATTATAAATTCACATAATTATAGTTTATGTAAGAGTAGTAACTTTTTGTGTCATTTAATCAGTCAAAAGTTTTATAATTGAAGGGAAAATGCGAGGAAAGATAGGAATAGGAAAATGTACCGACTGCGATAGCTGAGCGGTAACAGCGACTCATTGTTTCTCCAACGCCATTGGCCAGAAGATTCTAGGATTCGTGTCCTACAGGAGTAGAGTTTTGAAACTAGTGCGCGGCTGGGTCGATTTCAGCCACTGCCCGAAGGCGAATTCTAAGAGCTACTGTATTGGGAAGTTTTCTTTGGTTCCTCCCATCAATACCACAGAAATGGTGGGGCAGTGCCCTAATGAAGAGGCCATGAACCCAGGACCACCGTTTCCTTCTCGTCCGTGACCTCCCCGTCTTCCCTTTCACATGCACATGCACATGCGCTACACTCCCACAAACGCAAAGGGGCCGATTGGGAAATTAGAGCGTGTCCCGCTAGGAGAGAGCCCTGGAGAAGGGAAAATCCACAAGCTGGCATAGGTCGGCGCCGGGTCCCGTAGTCCATAAAGCATGTAGCGGATAAAGCATGTATGACACATACGAACCTATTCATCTAAGTAGTTGACGCGCTAGGACCAATACGTGCTCGCTCACCCGAAGAAAAAGTTCGTGGGTAATAACAAGATCAAGTTAGGCTCTCAGAAATACGAAAGACAGAAGATGGCATCTTCGGACTAAACACTTCGGCGACAGGGACAAGTAATGTGAATACGAAATGTTCGTAAACCCCAACGCAGGCGATTTCTGGACCAATTGTTGCGCTTGGTAATGTTGACACGACAGCGCACGCGCACACAGGTGGTCTGAGAGACCCGGGAAGTCTTGCATTGTCTAATATTGTGATTGCACTTTGGCCGCTCCTGACCATTGCCTCCAGGTACCTTTTCCTTTCCTAATAGATATGTCACACCTCTTCCAAGAAAATGAGTAATTTTATCCTCGGTAGAGGCGAGAAAATCCAAAACGTTGCACGGGCATCACACGCTAGCTGCGTGCACTCGTGCCACGATCTTCGTTCAGAACGGCACGCGCCTTTAGAAAATATTGTGCTTGGAGCATTAACTAAGAGTTTGTAAAGCATGCAAGGAATGCAATGAAGTTGCCAAGCGTGTGTAAAATACATCAAATGCAATGAAAATAATATTTCAGCTTATACAATTCTTTCAGTGTCCTTCATTTGCATACAAACCACTAAATACTGTAATCAATTATTTGAACATATATCTCATTATTGAAAATATTATCCATCTTTTTTCTGGTATACTACATTGATTGAAATTGTAAGACGAAATTGAATTAAGGGGATAGCAAGCAGAAGGATCTGTGACACCAGGTGCGTGAACTGAAGCTACAGAAAGCGCGGGTTGAGGCTCTCACAGAACACTCCGCGCTACACGCGGCGGCGGCATCCGCGGGACCGATCACACCGCAGCGTCAATTATCATTCAATGTTTGATGACAGTTGTCCTCATCCGATAAACAAAAGCAAGGAGGCTTCGGTCTGGAGGGAAGCGCAGACTCCCGAAGGCGGGCGGACTTCCACAAAACTCGAGCGGCGGCGGTCGAAACGCGTCCGACTGCGTCCCAAAATCCGCAGGTACGAAAACGATACCGCGATGCTCGCCAGCCGCGGAGTTCTGAACGCGCTCTTAGGCAACACGCGACGCGAAATTTCCGCTGCGGATAATCCGCGTAGGCTGCGGGTCGTCCGCGCCGGTGCGCGCAAGCCTTTGGTTGGCGGGTGAACGCGAACGCTGTCACCTTGGACGTGAAGTGCGGCCGCGGCAGGCGGCTGACGATCATGTCCTTGTTGGCGTTGACCCAGTAGTCGGCGCAGTCGGAGCGCAGGTTCCACACGAAGTTGGCCTGCGCCTCCTTCATCAGGTGGCTCACGATGGACGCCTCCGTCTCGTGGGGCGAGAAGACCGGCGGCGTCACATCCGGGCTCGTCCGACCTGGAACTGCACAACCACTTCCTTTTCACCGCTGGAATCAAAAAGGAAGCTTGTGCTTCAAAATTCCTTTTTAACTTGGTCGAACATTGTAAGAAATCAGACACCCAAAGACCGATGGCGGAAACTGCTTTGCGGCGTCTTTACGCGACGTTTCTAATACTCGAATCGTAAAGTAGTTTCGAATGTTGATAAGGGTACAAAAAATTAGCGTGTTAACTTCAAACGATGAATTATTTTCAAGTATTGAAAAGTAATTATACATTTGAAGTTTCCATCAATGTTAATCTACTCTGCTACTAAATATCCATAAAGGGACTCATTAACATATTTTCCTCACATACAAAATAAAAAATGTTCTCGCAAAGACATTATACTTCATCGTTATATTTTTTTAAGATTGACAGAATATAATGCAAGAGGAGTATAAAATTTCTCATTCCTTTTCAAACTGAAACTACATGAAAGTGTAAGAAGTATCTAATAAACAAAAATAATGAGGTTTTTGCGGGTTGACAATAATTCAAGATACGGTGTGCGAATGACTAGACTACTGTTCTCCCTATACACGACAAATGATTTCAAAATATACGATATCCTAGATCAATGTTACAAACTTCTGGGGCATGTAGAAGGGTCTATGAACATTTGTACTAACGAACATTCTTTTGAAAATGTCATACAGCGTAATTCTCATGTGACTTTGCCCCTGATTGGTAGGCAACTCATTATACACTGTAATTTGAAGGTTACTTGAAATCTCAACTGCATCCAAACAGTGACCCGCCCAAGCGCTTGATGACTGGGTCCCAACCCCAGGGTAGTTAGACGTGTATTTAAAGTGATATTAGTAATTATTTTAGTGAAACAATTGTTTAAACCCTTACTTTTTGTTTTTTATTTATTGAAAACAAATGAAAAATAAGTAAAAGTGTAAATTTTTGTATTTTATTGATCCTTAAATAAATTACAATCATACAGCACAAAAAATCTACGCAAGAACAATAAATATTTTTCAGAATTTTCATACATTTCTTCCAAATCTTTTTTCCAAAATTTTGCAAAGCAAATTTCTGAATGATTTTCTAAAAAGTAATAATTTTGTGGGATACTCAACGTTCTAAACTCAGAACACACGTGCCACAGTAGAGAAATCTGTCTACCACAGCAGTGCAAACTATTACAAAAAAAGCCACATTACCGGCTCGCACTTCGGAAAATAGTTCTCAAATCGGCCGAGAGATGACATCACAATAGAGCTACCTCAATGGAGACATCTATTCAATGCGCAGAATCGACGTATACTCGTGCACGTGGGCGGAGAGATGAGGACACGTGCACCCGAGCTCTGTTCGGGTTTGGGACTCCCGATCATTAAGCAAAGCCCGAAGTATAGGCCGAGCTTGGGCTTCAATATGCTAACTAGGGACAATTGTCACATACGTAATTTCATTATTTGAAATTTTCCAACACATGTTCGTTGGCAAAAATCTATCGTCTTCGATCCCCTTTTACGCCGGGTAACTTTTCCACCATTCTATATACTTAAATCTTAATAAGCTGGCAAGTTACATTTTCTTTCCAAATGAAGGTATCGTAGAGTCTCGGTAATTCGAGGTGGATGGGACCGGACCAATCTCGAGTTATAGAAAACGCGGATTATCGAAAGTGATTAATTTTTTAAAATATAAAAATATAAACACTTTTAAATTTCAAAGTTTGCAAATTTCAATAAAAAATGTACTTGTATAATATTACATTAATAGCTGAAGGTAAATTAATTACATCTTATATTAATTGTCAATTCTTTTTTGTTTAAGTATACTATAGTATATAGAACTATACTTTACTAATGGAACGAATTTCCTTTTCCTTTTTGTAGAATCCATCAAAAAAACAACGATTCTATAAACTGAATTAAAAAATCTTTTAAAGGTGACTTAAATTGCACTCGCTAGTACCGAACTAATCTAACTACAATCTGCCCAACTAAACTAATTGGTGTTTGACCGACTGGGCGTAACAACAACAATGCTACCGCATCGGCCCAACAACGCTTTGAACTTGTAAAGCAACAATAACAAAATATTTTTAAAAAATATGTAAATTACAAATAAATAAGTAAATGGCTTGGGCATTTTTTCGGGAAGAAATGTACTTATTTTTATTTTAATTAATGGTTTAGTAAGTCGAATTTATGGCAAACTCGAACAATCGAAACTCGAATTATAGAGACTCTGCTGTGTTTTAGTGCAGAGAGCTCTTCTGCAAATGTTAGTTTTGGTGTGCATTTCGGAGCCCGGTCCGCTTCTGCGAAAAGTAATGAATCGCCAGCGGAGCGCAGCTACCTACCGTTGGGGACAAGGGGGCGCACCACCTTGCACTCCAGCTTCTCCATCCATCCTCGGCTCTTGAGCGCTTCTCGGATGGACGGGAAGCAACCGTGAATGACAAAAATCTTCCTTTCCTGAAACGAGCGAATCATTCGCCACACACCTGCACTGAGAGTACGCGTGGCGGTGATGCGTTGAAAGCCGAAACTTCAGAAATTCAAACATTTCTAAGCATAACTTTATCTGATGAATATTTAATATTCAATTTACACATTATTTTGGTTTTCGTACGAAGCCCAATTTCCTACTTTGTGAGTTTTCATAGTTACTTAATATCTGATACGACTACAATGTAATCTTAAAACAATGTCCTTATCATATTAATAATATTTTGTATCGTAATAATATTACAGGAGTCTTAATTAATAATGAATGTCGTTAGGTATTGATATATGTATGTGTTTCATTCCATTTAATACTCACTAGTAACTTGTGAATCAGTGGGGCGATTGCTCTTAAGGCGGCTCCACACGTTCGGCATTCGGCGAATCCCGAGTAACCGCTCGCCGACTCCGAGTAGCGTGGACGGGTTGCTTGCGATTCGCCGAGTGCCGAACATTCGGTATTCGCCCTATCCACCGCGTGTCGGTATTTAGGACACATCAAAGGGAGCGAACGTTCGCCGAACACATCATCTGTTCGGGATTGGGCGAGCAGTAGAGCTCGCTGCTCGGCGAACGCCTAATGTGTGCAGCCGCTTTTACATTTTGCACGAAACTTTTGAGAAGCAGAGCAAAACCACGGGAGGTTCGTTTTCCCGAAATCCAAACCAGGCGTCATCGGGCGACGCGGGGCAGGCTCGGGCCGAGTGGTAGCGGGCCTGGGGGCCATCCTTAAATTACTTAGCACAAATTTGGAGTATTTTGAATACTCCCTCCCCCCTCATAACGCACTCGTAACGCGCGCCAATTTAATTAAATCTACTTGCCAATTTAATTAAATTCCATAAAATACTACCTATACGTTTTGAGAATCTTCCATCTAATTTTACAGATTCAATAAAAAGTTGATGAAAAAAATCCATTTATTGTAACAACTTCTAACAACTTTCTATTATTTGTTTTAAAAATTTATTAGGTAATGTTTTAGTGTAGGACTCAAAAATGGAATTATTTCAAACAATGTTATAATATGTAAAAAGCTATCAATGTTACGTAACAATAATCGCAGTACGCAGTACGTAACAATGTAACGCAGAGTAACGCTACCTCAAACCCCTCCATCTGTCTTTAGCGTTACGTAATATGGGCGCTCTCCAGTGGGCGAGGCAGAGGAGCGGGGACGGCGTGGCCAAAAGGAAAAGCGAGGGGAATGGGACGAGGCGGGGCGGGAATGTGAAAAAGAGCATTGAGATAAATACCAGGGCGAGGCCGGGTGATAAGCTAGTTTGCCAATAATAGAACATATTTTCTTCTCTTCTAAAATATAGTTTCAAATCCTCACTAAAACGTAAGCAACTGCGATTTCTTCTTCATATCTATCTTCATACGTACGATGAACGTAATTGAAATCCGGATATTGTACGTTTTCAATTATTGTTACGTAGTAGATAACACTGGATGACAGAATCGGGCTCGCTGCGGGTTTTTGTATTTAATGAACAGGTACCTACACCGAAACCGAAATGGGCTACTGGGTTTGAAGCGTAGTGCACAATAACTTCGTACGTGGCTCCTACTCTATCCTAATTGGACATTCACCATAACAAAAATATTTTGTCACTTGAAACTCGTTCTTCGTCCATGACTGACCAGATAAGTCCCAGATGTCATGAAGAGCAAATAAAATCTATATCGCAAATGGACATAAATATCGATTTTATAAAATGCTGAAGGATGAGATTCAGCGATATACCTGCTATCAGAGTACCTACAAATGCTTTATCAATGTGTTGCATGACCTTTCTACTACTGAAATCTATGAAGAGCACAATAACAAAGCGTCCGGAATCAGAAAAATCAATTGAGAATCTAGTGATGCTACAAAAGCACATACTTTCTCGCATTATTTGTATGAATTTTTGAGGAAAAACTTGAAACCCTTTTTAAAGCTTCATCAAAGTACCCCCTAAAATCAAAATATCCGTTTCAAACTTTCGGGGTCTCGAGTTCAGCCGAATTGACCCGGGGAATACCAATTGCGGAGAAAATCCTCTGATCGGTTTAGGCACTAGCACTGACCACAGACGGCCGGACACACAGACGTTTGGTTTTAAACCAGTTTCTCGGTGTCATGGATCCACAAAATGGGGATTCGAACAACACAACGTATTAGGGGAAGTAATTTTCTACATTCAGAAACAAGATTTATCCACTTTTTCGCTTTCAGATCCCCACCGTACGAATGCTTGGAAAGAAATATCGCCTCTTTCCACTGCAGCATTACAATACTTTCTCCTTACTGCGCAAGTAAGAAGTAGGCAAGAAATTAAAACCCAGCAATTCACTAAAGGGCAATATATTGCAACAATATACAGCATCTATCATGCTTAACATACATATCACGCATCCACATTAAACTAAGAGATCGAGACGATCTGACACTTACAAATGACTTGGAACGTATCAAAAAGAACATGCAACATGTTCGTTCATCGACGCACTCAACTCTACCACAACGTGTGAAAGAACGTAAGAAGTGCAGCCCCATTTAGTCATTGGAACAGCGCAGGAGAATGTTTTATTATATTCTACGATATCCACTCAAAATCTGTAGGTAGAGTACCTCGTTGAAAGAAACACATTAAGTGAGGTGCTAATTAAACGCTTAAGTCAAGAAATGTTGAACATATGAACAGCAACAATGATACATAGATTTTTTTTGCATTTGATATTCATGTGAATACGAAAGGAAGGAGGAAATACGGAGTTTCAAACATGAAAGGAGTTCCTATTTAAATATCTATTTCCCGCCGGGACCCAAAACGAACTCTCATTAAAACGTACGTCGGGATCGGCACTGTCAACTACTGTAATGAACTCTAAAGTATTTTTAACAAAGTCTATTTTACCTTTTCTTTACTGTATTAGTATCAGCATTCTCAAGAATCCCATGAAAACGACACCTTTAGATGAATATAGGACACTCCATTGTGAAAATTAATCTTCATCATTGACGCTTGCTTCTTTGCAATATTAATATTACTACACATTCCAACTCGGTGCCGGGAAACCGAGCTTGTTCAATTGTTTTGTAGAGGTCTTTTCTGCGCTGGTGTTCCGCACCCAACACTTCATGTGCCCCATTCTTGATTTATAAGCCACTGTCGGAACACGAGAGCGCGCTCCCCTCCTTAAATAAAAAGTCCTTCAGCATTCATTGACTCGGCTCGCACCTTCATTAACTTAAAGGTTACGAAATATTTTTCAATAATCTAAAATTGACAAGATTTTAAAGTAAAGGCTTCTAAAAAATGTACGCTTATGTATGAAGACTTATGATGAGCTTGTATAATGACATTGATAATATTCATTCATAATATTCACAAGGGATGCTCTGTGTAATTTATTTACTGAATAAACAATCGACTATCATCGATCAGTCGATGACTAAGTAACAGACACTGATTTTATTTATTTTTCGATTATAACGGCAATGAAACTCTATACTACACATGTGAGACAAAAAGGACAATTTTCGAGGCATATAAATGTTTATTGAGGTAACTTACAGAATTGTTACAGATTTCATTTTGCGGCTAGAGGCCTCAAGTTTAACTCACGTAGTACCTCAAAACCACATTCGGTCACCAGGAGCACCAACGTAGTTCAATGACATAAAATGGCTAATTTCACTGGTGTGGAGCGAGTGCTGTGTGCTTTGATTTCATGAAACTAACTCTGCAAGTACATTCCGAGTAAATTTCGTAACAAACGCGCTAAAGAACATCGAAGCAGGCCGACAATTTGACACAAGTGCTTTGTTGAAACTGGTTGTTCTCTCAAACATGATAAATTGCCAGGTAGCCCGTATGTTGCTGATGCTGTCGTCGAACAGGTGAGGGAAAGCTTTGCCGGCAGACCAAAGAAATCAATGCGACGTGCTCCTCGCGAGGCTGGCATTCCACAAAAGACTCATGGAGCGTTTAGTAAACGTTTACATTTGAAACGATACAAATTGATAACGGTACCAACAATTACTGATTTAGATAAAGTTGCACTTTAAAAATTACTTGGAAATGTTGAATCGGGTAGAGGAAGACGAGACATTCCTGAACAAAGTAATATTCAGTGATGTGTCCACATTTCATCTCAATGGCAAGGTGAACACCCACAACTGTGGAATATGGGGCACCAAAAATCCACGTGAAATTTTTGAATACTTTCGTGACTGCTCAAAAGAATGAATGCATGCTCAAGTGAATGCATTTTTCCCACCAATGTGTACGGTCTTTTCTTCTTCATGGAGAATAATATCATTGAGATAGCCTATCTGGAATTGCTTAATTCCTCAGTTAGATGAAGACGAACAAGATATGCCGTTTTACTTCCAACAAGACGGTGCACCACCTCATTTCTTCACAGAAGTTCGCGTTTTTCTGGATAATCGCTTCCCACGCCGGTGGATTGGTTGTGCAGGGCCAATTGCAAGGCCACCTCACTCCCCAGATTTGACACCGATGGATTTCTCTCTTTGGGGATTCATTAAATATCGGGTGTATGTTCCGCCCTTACCAAACAATGTACAAGACCTTAAAACTCGAATCCACGCTGCCGTTGCAAAGGTTACGCCCGATTCGCTGGCACGAGTGTGGGAAGAAACTGGGTTTCGGTAGGATGTTTGCCGTATCACTAATGGGAGTCACATCGTTCCAATGTGATACTTTGATGTAAATCTTGAGGCCTTTCACCACAAAATGACACCTGTAACACAATTCTGTAAGTCATCTCAATAAACATTTATCTGCCTTGAAAGTGGTAAAGTTATTTTTGACTCATCCTGTATTTCCGTGTAAATAGTGTTATATCAATGGCATACTTTTCGCAACTAATGGGACAACTTCCTTTTTATGATTGATTATGATTATTTATGTTATTTACATATAAATACCGAGAAATAGGATAAAATGGTATGTCCTCAGCACTACATTAATCACGATTGAATTCAAATGGAGAATCACGAAAATTATGACCTTCCCCAAGAAGATTGTAATTCGACGGAATTCCAAACATATTTTCAACAGAATAAAATGTGAAAAGGCATTTCTGTATTCGACAAACCTTATTAGACCAATAACAAATAATACATAATTAATTTCCATTAAAATTATTTTGTTATAATACAAAGAACAAATATATCAATTTAATGACATCAATTCATAATGTTCAATTCAGTGGTTACACCAATGGAAACCGAACGAGGTTCCCCTGGCTTACGCCAGTTCCTAATTCATCCCAATTTACTAATTAATCCTACATAAAATTGCGTATGCGGTTTTCAGCATACTATGCATGAAATTAAATTATAAAAATTCATATAAAAGGACTCCTATATAGAAGATAAAGGAAGGTTTTTTTTCGAATGCCACAACAAATGCTTGAAGTTCCCGAATTCGCCGTAGTTACCGTAGTTGCCGTTTTTTAAAGACGACGATTTCTGGCGAAGAGCATGCTTTCTGAGTACTGCAACGAAAGTTGAGAATTTAGTATCGCAACGAAGCCCCAATCAGGATATCTATATATGCCTGGCATGACAAATTGAAGTCTAAGTGTCTGGTCGATACTAATACACATTTTTTGCAGTGCCGAAATTTGGCTTGTGAAAGACAAACCATAATAAAATGAATTCTAGCAGAAATTAAGCCTAGGAACTAGATTCTTTTCATTTGTTTTTATGTTATGCGGTAAAAACTCCGCATATATTGGTTTGATACGTTCTCGCTTATATACATTTTATCACAATCGTTTCTGGAATGCTCTATTATATTTACAGCACATCGTATTATTAGAATACCCATTCTACTTTCATAAAACACAATACTAATATACTAAAATATTACTTTTCCAGAACACGATATCCTTAACAATATAAACAAATGCGCATTCAAAACTCTGGAAAATGAGAACAGGCCATCCAGACGTTTGCAGAGCAGTGACTGCTAACTAAAGTTTCAAGTGGTCTGAAAGATTACGGAAAGACGCTCCTAAAGATTTAATGACAGAACTGCGAAATTGAAACTTGCAATCAGTGTAGCGATGTTCTTTCGTAGTTTTCCGCTATCAAACATGCTATGCTTACACTATACGCTGCAGCTTGAGATGCATACTGATGTAGAATTTGTTTGATGAAGTCAAAATTTAGCCCGCACTACCATCCCCGAACCCGCATCTCCCGTAACAGTCGTATACCAATGAACTTCCAGGTCCCGGAAAACACCAACAATGAAGGGAAGGGGTCAACAGCGGACAACCACATCATCTTAGGCTGAATTCCTGTGAGTGTTCATCCGGACTAAGGTATCAAGATGACGGATTTCTGAAAGAGTGATGAGGGCATGCAATATCATCTGTCATCTACATATCATTTTCGTCCTAACTCTCCGACTGTAATGTCTTTAAGATATTTTATTCCCGCAGAAGACGCACCGGTTGCTATGGATTCAATCCACGATATACCCTTTTGTGGCAACACCACGCGCATTCATCAAAATACTTTAACTTTCTCATATACGTACGTATATACGGAGTAACATACGTAGTATAGAGAAAGTTATGTTTTGCTGCGGAAAATCAATTTCGAGATTTCAACAGCAACACACATTTCGGGGTCTCCTGATACCGAAAAAGTGTGTTTTTTTCCTTCAAAATGTCCGTCAATCTGTGAACACCACTTGCGCCTACGTAGGAATTTTTCCAAAATGGATATTCCTCAGTCGAACGGATTCGACTCTTGACGCGGCAATTTTGAAACATCTTTCTTCAAAATTCGGGATACTTTACATGAAGCCACCAAGACATTGTAAAAATTTTCTCAAAACGGCTCCAATGTTTTTCTTTAAATTTCTTGTAAAAATAGAGTAAAATACATTTATAAAAATAACTTATGTCCTATTTTCACAGTTAACTCTCAATTATCAGAAATTGCAAAAGTACGAATTTTCCCGCGTCTTTCTATAACTACAAAATTGAAGAAAGAGATTTTTTTCAAATAATGTTTGTTCTCCATGTATAGTTCTTTCAATATAGTCTGTACTTTTTTAAAAAATTGAGTAGTTTTCGAGCAATATTGCGAGCAATGTTTGCTATTTTAAAACATTACAAAAACCTGATTACTCAAAAACTGTTCTAAATTTAATATTTAAAATTTTGGTAGGGATAGTGCTAAATACACTTTATAAGATATATTATTCGCTATATTGTTCTAGTCTTTTGTTTTTTTCAAAAATTACAAAAATGTAGTTTTTGTAACTTTTACTTGTTAGAATTTACATTAGCGGCAATTGATCACATTCTTGTATTTATGAGTACTTGTGCTTTAAATAACGTAATATAAAGTTTCTCTAAAACTCAACTGTTTTATTAAAATGAGCTCAAAATTCCGCAGTTTCAGAAACGATCAAACATAATTTTCTTAAATATGGCCCCAAATTTTATCTTCAAACTTTTCGTAGGGATAGTGATAAATTGAACTGTTAAAATTGAGAAAGTTCATTTTGCTGTATTCTTTTGTTTTTTCAAAAAATAAACTAATGTATTTTATTTAAATATCTCTCAATATTTTAATGTTTTTCTCCAGCGATTTGTAAACACTATTGCATTTGCAAGTTAAAGTAACTCAAATGACTTTCAATGAAAATTTTTGAAAACTTAAAAAATTTCTGTGAGAAGTTTCAAATTTTGCATTTACAGTAAAGCTTAAATGCCATTTTCTTAAAAACGGCTCCTAATGTTTCAATGAAAATAACCATTAATGACAATGTTTTACTCTTTTTTAATATTCTTAAAGTAATATTTCTGTTCTACTATTAGGAAAACGAAAAATTGAGGAAATGTCAAAAAAATGTACTTTGGGTGGCGATAAATGGCAGCTGGCAAGAGGATGGGGCAAAACCGTAAAGCCAGTCCTCACCAAGGAAATTAGAAGACTTTACTTCGAAAAAGAATGTGCCATTCTGTAGCATCACTAATTTTCGTTTTGTCGCGACAAGAGACATACGCTCGGGTAAAGTGGCTTGGGGCAAGACGTTGGGGCACCGACTAGATGCTGCGGAAAAAAATATGCGATTTTGCGGTGCCTGCAATTTTGGGATGCAATTTTGCGTACTTTTCTGAGCGATTCAAAATTAAACAGCATAATGTAAACAGGCAAATTCACGAAATAAAATCTATGAAAATGAAAATATTCCGAATTATTTAATAATATCTACTTGTGGGTAACTTATATAATAATAATAATAATAATAATAATAATAATAATAATAATAATAATAATAATAATAATAACAATAATAATAATTAATAGCGTTAGTACATGACAATAGTTTGTTAAGTGCAAAATAATAGAGGCAAACATGAGTTTTTCCATGTGCCAGGCATTCGCTGGGAATGATCGTATCAATGGTAAGTGCTCAGCTTGCCAGGGTGTTCTATAGATCGCTTTGCAGCTAGGCGTTGGAGTCACTTACCCGGATGGCGCGTTCCACACGCTCCTTCAGAATGCGCAGGCGCTCCCCAGGATCGCGAACCGTACACGAGATGAGTTTCTTGGTCGCACTCGTCGAGGATGCGCTGGCAGAAGTACTATTGTTCAGAGCCCGGGGGAGGGTCACGGCGGCTTGCGCCGAACCCTTGGCGGAACGTGTGACATTGCTAACAGAATTTTGGACACCGCTTAGACCTCCAGTCTTACTTCCCTGAGTTGCACAACTTTTGCTTGCGGAAGTACTGCTCTTGCTACTACAACTACTCTTGCTGCTGATGCTGCAAGAGCTTTCAGTGCGAGATCGGCCGGGAGGATGTTCTTTGCCCCGTTGGGTGTTTATTAAGGGGTCGGGAGGCATGCTGGACGATGGATCCCCATCTTCCAGCTCCGTAGCCGGACCGCTGAGGAGTTCTTCACTGACTTCGTCCTGGTCCTCGGTCTCCGCTGAGGTGTTGAGGAGACCGCCGGCGGCGACGGGGCCGGGAGGTGCCTCTTCGACGAGGGCGACAGTCGTCAGAGGACTTTCGTGGTCCGTGGACCTCTCCCCATGGCCCACCGCCGTGTCCTCCGGCCCGAAGCCCGTCTCCACGGAAACATCGTCCAACAACGGACGCATCGATGCGGCGTCCGCCTGGCACATTGTTGGCAAGCCACCGGCCCGTCAACCGCGAGCATTGTCCTACGAGACACACGCCGCGCCCGCGGCGCACCGCTGGGGCATCCGCGCTGTGCTCCGCCGCCGTCCGCGCCCGCCGCGCTCTGGGCTCGTGCGTGCCGCGTGCAGTCACGTAACTTCCATCGTAACACGCGCTCGCGCACTCCCGCGCCTACCGCCGCCCTGACCTGGATCCCAGAGCTCGGTGCTCGGGAGCGCGACTAGAATTCGACGGTGGCGCGCAAGCCGCCGACGAGGAATCAATAGGCGGTCGTCGACGTCGTCCGCGGGCGCGCTGCCTCGCCGACAGAAGCGCATCGCCGCCCACCAGCGCCCAGCGAGCAACTCCTCGTTCGCTCGCTTGCCATCTACAGACTCGGATTCTCCTGAGGAGAAAAAAAATGTATTGATTCTGTCTGACGGGGAATATTGCTTCCGGTTTTGATGTAGCCACCACCCGCGAGCAACCCTTCCGGGAAGGAAATGGTGCCCAGGAACCTGCAGGTACCGCCCCCGCCCCCGGGTGACTCAGACCGTGGCACGTGTAGAGGGCAGACACGACACCCTCAAGCGTCGCGAACACCCTACGCGACGCCCACGACACGCCTCCAATCCTAATTGATTCTAGCCTTCCCCTAAGTGTTGGCATATTCAATATTTTATAAATCTTGATATCTTACATTAGTTAGGAGGTAGCCTACCAGGGACTTTGATACATCGATTTCCTTGAAACATAGAACTCCTCTGTTCTGTGCAGGCATCTATATCATCATCATATCGTACCTACAAATATACTTTTTTGTGAGAGACATATTACGCCCTCTCATCATATTCGGAATGTAGAATATGCATTTAGAAAATGTAATGTCTCTCATAACATGAAAACTACGTGTTTTATTAAAGTATCTCTCAAATGATTGAAGCAGGAAATTGCGTAGAATATTAATTTTAAAGTCTTGAGCCTATATAAGATTGATTACGTACTATGACATTCTTACTACTTGCACCTCCGTGCCATTCATGACCCATGACCAAATACTTGCCCGCGTGGATTGTATCTGCATTGCCTAATATCTTAACCTTTGCTACGCGGATGTATACATTGGCCATACATGTATATGTCTCACTTATAAACATGATTTTCTGTCTACATCGGATAAGTGTAGGTGTGTAAAGCTCATTACGGTGCCAAAGACAATTTCATTATCGGATTATATTGTTTCCCTAGAGCGCCCTAATTTTTACTGTGCAAGTTGTTCCGCAACTCTGAAGGTGTGTAGCGTCTGTAGTGACATCAAAACAAAATGGCGCTCTTACGTGTGGTGAATATTCTGCTGTGGAATCTAACACTATAACGGGCACTTCGTTTGCCAAGTTCGCCCTCGCAAACGGTGGATGTTTAATGATGTTTTGTTTCTTTAATGTTATCCATTAACTGTTAGTTTTTATTCGTGTCAATATTTGCTGGACGTTTTACAATAAGAGGTCATAATTCCCACCTGAGGAATGCGCTTATCGCTGTCGACGTGTGATGCGTCTCAAGTGTGTAAGTGATAAACAAGTATTTGTGAAAATGTTTGGCTAGTGAAATTAGTGAAAATTTACAAAGTGGTCGTGTACTGATGTGGTAATCCATGTGTAAACATTCCTGTTCAAAACAATAACACACTCTGCAATTCTGCAACAAGGTCTCTTCCAGCGTTAGAAGAAAACGCATTGGAAGTATGGCCTTCAATGAGGTAAATTCATCATGTTTGTTTCTCATTTCAGTCTTAAAAGCTGAGATATTGTATCCACATCATGTAATGACATATGTCAAATATGTGTTTGACATTAACATTTCTGCCCATTGTTCTGTCAGATGGATCACAATTTTTGTCTGTAACCAATCTATGTTTATTATTTTCCGCCTAGAAATAAAGATATAATTCTAAATCGGAAAAGATTTCATCAATATGGTGGTACCTCTGCAAGGTGCTGTGCTCTTTTGGTAGTGACATGGAGGGCTTGCTGTTCAAACAACATACATGATGTGTTTACAATTTGTTCATGTTATTAGTGTGTTAATGAGAGAATGAGCCTGAGTGATTCGTATTCATTTATCTTTCAGTAATTAATATTGTATTTTCCTGAGTCTAAATCATGATTGTCAGGCGTTGTCTGTTCTGTTCATGGAAGTTTGATTTTCTTCTTCCTTCAAATATAGGTTATTATCATTATGTATTCTGCAAGTATATAGACTAAATCTCTTACAATTCACACATCTATTATGCCTTCTGTTACAATGAACATTTGGATTGATTTGAAGTGAAACAAACATTTCATTTTACCTTGTTAAGAAAATTAGTATAAAAGATTATGATGCTACCTGAGAGATGTTATGTAAATTAGAAGTATCAGAGAATCATATTATGACTTTGTTCAGTTTTCTTTCTAATGTTTTGTAGAATATTCATCATTTAAGCCAAAGTTGCTTTGTATGTACTATACGAAGCTGAAAAAATTTATTACATCGGTATGCAATTAAGTGTCAGAACGGTGGTCGCATAGGAACTTCAGTATAGAAACTGCCCCTTTTTGAGAAGATTCATTGAATTGTCAAAGGCATGTTGTAATGTCTTTAGAAAGAATCGGCAAGATGTTTAGACTGTCTTTCAGTAATATATTTGGCTTTCTTCAACCATTTGCTTAAATATTTCTGTTGTTTCCTTTTTGTGAAAGTTGTAAGTGACTTTATCTTAGTAATACTCTAACAGATGATCGTACATTTGGGAGATATTTAGTAAATGAAGGAACAACGAAAAATTCATAAATGTTGAAAAATTGTTTTTGTATTACCTAGGTAAATATTTAAAATGTTTCTTTGCTCTCTCTACAAATGTCTTAAGAAAACATGAAACCTACTGCAAAAATTTTTAAGGTAAATGGATTTTGTAGTTTGAAAGAAAAATTTTCTCTGAGAAGAGCCTATGTGCTTGGTAAGGTGTTTGTTTGATTCACACTGATTTCTTGAACATATCCTCAATCTGAAAATATAAATTCACTATTCAGAAAATCATTTTGTTACCAATGCTTTATGATGAATAAGAATTGATGTGTAAAACTTTCGTATGACTTCGTATATGGAAAACTTTCAAATGACATAGTTTAACTCATGACAATGCCTAGTAGTAAGAGGTGAAAGAATGGTGCATGGATTTTTTTGTTCAGGATGATATTTTTATTGTAATTAATATTGAAAAGGTTGGGAAGGTTTTAGTTAACTGCATATACTATTGCTTGGGATTTTAAAAATAATTCTATTATAGACCTAGACTGTATTTATTTGTTGATCAATAGTGTTGATATTTTGATCAACATTTTAATGTGATTTAAACATCAGATCATGAAGCAAAGTGTCTAAATTTACCCCTTTTATGTTAAAAAAATTGTTGACACCTCCCTGAACAGTGAAAATAAGTTTCATTACCGTAAAATAGAGCAATTTTTGACAAGGGTTTAACATTGAACATTTATGTAAATGTTTTAATTTTCTTCCTTGATATTGTATTTACTAGTATACAATAACAGTTCGTTATTGGTTATCTTATTGCATTGAAACACTTATATAACATTCTTTAGTCAACTATGATTTATTTAAACAGCTGTCGAATGACGAATCAAATCCTTCGATCTTAAATCATGGAATTTGTTTCAATTTATATTATATTAATGTTAAATATTTCTAGGGTTGTTTCGGGTCTCCGGTTTAGACCCGTCTTCAGGCTTATATTAACTTTATGGATTCGTAAGAGAAACTTTGAAATTATTGATAATTAGCCAATGCAGGATTCATGTCACTTCATAGAAAGAGGTTTGTGTTTGTGAAAACTGATAAAGATGTTTACGAAATATCATTAGATGACATGATTTCTATTCTTCCAACTCTAAAAAGTTATGGAAACTATAGACAGATGCAAATACAGTTTCCTGTTACCACATATGGTGGATCTGTAATTTTTGACAATATTAATAATAAAAATGTAATCTACATGAAGCATTGAATTTAAAATGCCCGAACTTCACATTTCCTGGACCAACAGTTGCCAAACAATTGGTATTCACTGAAACAATGATTGACATTCACTGCAAGCCATAGTGTCCAATTTCACTCAGTTTTAGGTTTATCTTCAGCGTAATTCTTTTTTTTGTTTTTTGAATTGATACATTAAACAATATTTCAAAATAAGCTCTAAGTATGCCCTCATGCAACTAGATATTTCAAAGTGAATGTTCTCTTATAATGTTTAATGTAGTGTTGTACGTTCAATTTTTTTAAATGTCCAAAGTTACCCTGTTTTATGGTAGTTAAAGATGATTAATCTTGGGGTCAAAATGTATTCCTGAAAATATTTTCTGATTTTTGATTGCGATGGTTATGGGCATCAAGAACTACTAGAGTATTAGCCTGCTTTTCTCCGTTCCTTCCAGAAAATTTTGTAAAATTAATATTTTGTCATGTAAAGTGTTTTTAGTTTAAAAGATATCCTTACAATACTGTTCAATATATCTGTTACCTTTGAGAATTACTTGTAATAAATGCCAGCTTAAAATTTTAAAATTATTTGTGAATTCTGCATCTGTTTGGTCAACTTTTACTATCAGATCTGTTTAAAGCTTAAGTAATTTTGTTCAAAATAGAATAAATGCTTTGCTGTTGAATAGTTGCAAAATCACCTTCTTTCAAACCTTATTACTTTCACTTTGGATCCTTTGAGTGGATAATATATTTCGGCAAAGCGAATATTGTTTTGAAGGAATTATTTGTGAACATTTTATTCATAATCGAATTCATTTTTGCACAAATTGTCTGAATATACTACTACTTCCATGTTTTTGGGTGTCGTCTTTTGAATGGGAAAGATGTCAGAGAACACCAAAGATAAGTTCTTCAATAATGTACCTTGTATTGGTAAAGCTTCATGTTTATTCAAGTTTTAGATAACCCATGAAAGTTTGTTATAAATTTAGATTTTGTTCTTTAGGTGTATTACATTTGTTTTAAGAAGATTGTTAATTTAAGAGCTCAGTAGAGAAAATAGAGAAAAAGGAACTATTATTTTGTCAGTCTTTGATAGCCACTACTCATGATTTGGTCTGAATATTTATAATTAGTAAATAATTTCACAAAGAGTTAGTAAAGTTAAAAACAAAAATTTACCTTCAAAATATTTCTTTCTGAATCACTTAACTTTTGCATATTCAATTCAAAATG